TTTAAGGGTTTCACTTGACTAACCTCAACAGGGACGGAAAGAAATAACAACCCCTCACAAAGTCCCATTTATTTTGTTTACCTTTTGTTCATTGAATCTTTAGCAATATAGAAATAACAAGAATACTGCATTTTTGCAAATTAAAGGAAGGTTTGTTATTTTGTAGCGTCATTGCACCTTTAGCAACTATTCATCTAATTCAGATTTAACATTGAATGATATCGTTGTAATCATCATCAAATTTACATTTTCTAGTTGAATGGACAAAGGTTTCTTGACGTAATCAAATGGATAGATATCTTTACATAAAATATTGACTTTGGAGCTTCATTTGAAACACATTGCAAATGAAGCAATTGTACATTGCAATATAAATAATAGGAAAATATAATGAAGAGAGAGAGAGAGAGAGAGAGAGGAGAAAGAAAGGAGAGAGAGAGGGAGGAGGGAGGGAGGGAGGGAGGGAAGGGAGGGAGGGAAGGGAGGGAGGGAGAGAGAGAGAGAGAGAAGAGAGAGAGAGAGAGAGAGAGAGAGAGAGAGAGAGAGAGAGAGGAGGCAAGGAAAATCATCTAGGCTCCAATCTACTTAATAATCATTTTTTAATAAAGGATATCCTAACCTTTGGAAAGAGTGAGATTAGGTATGAATTATTCAGTGTCAAGCCTCGCTCACCCTCTCAAAAAAGAAAAAAAAAAAAAAAAAAGATCCCTCTTTCTCTCTCTCTGTCTTCTTTCTTCTTTTTTCTCTGTCTTTTTTTCTCTCCTCTCTCTCTCTCTCTCCTGTCTTCTCTCTCTCTCTCTCTCTCTCTCTCTCTCTCTCTCTCTTCTCTCTCTCCCTCTCTCTTTCTCTATCTCTCCCTCTTCCCTCCCTCCTCCCTCTCTCTCTCTCTCCTTCTCTCTCTCTCTCTCTCTCTCTCTCTTTCGCATCCACCCACTCCTCTCAGCCTCTCAAGAGATACGATACCATATTGCCCATGTTCTTATGTATGGAAATAAAGACAGGATAAATATACAAATAAACACAAGGAGAATAAAGTACATAAATCGGTGGGCATTGATTTTTTATTTTTTTTATTTTTATTTTTTTTTATTTATTTATTTATTTATTTTTTTTTGAGTATGGAGTGTTCATAATATTATATTGTTGTTTTTTTTGTTATGGAGAGAGGTCTTGTCTTAGCAATGGTATTTATATCGTCCCGATTAGAGTAACGGTATTCAATTTAGTTTTCGTTTTTTTTTATCGGCTTACACGAGCATGTTTATTTGATTTGATTCGTTTTACAAGATTACTCTTGGAATTCATATTCTTTGATCTCTTCTCTCTTTCCCTTTTTTTTTTCTTTCTCTCTCTCTCCCTCTTTCTCTCTCTTCTCCTTTCTCTCTCCCTCTCTCTTCTCTTCTTTTCCAATCTCTCTCTCTCTCTCTCCTCTCTCTCCTCTCTCTCTCTTTCTCTCTCTCTCTCTCTCTCTCTTGCCCCCCCCTCTCTCTCTCTTTCGCTCTCCCCCCAGCCACCAAAAAAGGAAAAAAGTTATACAATTAAACTTTTCTCTCTCTCTCTCCTTTCTCCCTAATCACCCAATGAGATCCTCCTCGCAGTCAGCCGGTGTTAATTCTCAACTTTCCGTTTAAGGCGCGTGTGTAAAATGTATGCAAATTTCTCATAATATTTATTCATGAGACTGACAATAGGCTGCTCGGAAAATCCTCTTAGATTCCAAGCCAGGAGAAGAGGCTTTTCCAATTTTCCCTTTTTTTTAATAGAAATTGTTATTATTACCTGCATAAAGGTAGGTCGTCTTTTAGAGACGTGAAAGGGGATGATCTGCTTATGAGGCTGTGAGAGAATGATTACTTTGTAGCTGCCTCTTGAAGCTCCTATAATTCGTATTTGAACCTCCTATCAACGTGAGAGAAGAGTGGCTATCTGTGGTTGAATAAGCATTGTAGTGTAATATATACGTGAATGGTGGGCACGTATATCAGTTGTTATAGTGGAAGGCAGTGTTGTGTAAGCATTATCAGGGCACAGGGACATATTAGCTCCTTGGGGAAACTGTGTGTACGCGAGTAAGCACGCACGCACACATGTATACACGCATGCACGTACGTATGCATGCACAGGAAAAGAGAAAAAAAAAATGATAAAAATAAAACAAAGATAATGAAACAACAGTACTTATCTGACGTAAACCAATTCTACAACCGAAGAACCTTATTTATAACAAGCATGAAGATCACGAACACCACCTTCAAATATTCAAAACAATCACAAAAACAGTCAAACTCACCTCTAAAGAAGCTCACAACGAGAGAGAAGGAATGAACCCCCCCCAAAAAAAAAAAAAAAAAAAAGCAGAGAGCCTGGGAAGCCAAAGCAGGCACGAAGGCTATTCTAATTACTTCATAGAACAATGAGCAGGCTGGATAGAAGAGCCTAGACTGCGTGTTGGCGTGTTGCTGCATTTTTATTCTTATGAGGGTTAGATTGCGGTTTGCCTCGAGGGTTAATAGCGGTGCGGTAGGAAGGGGAAAGGAGAAGAGGGAGAGGGGGAAGGAGAGAGAGAGGGGAGAAGAGAGAGAGAGGGGAGATAGAGAGAGAGAGGGGAGATAGAGAGAGAGAGAGAGGAGAGAGAGAGAGAGGGAGAGGAGGGAGAGAGAGAGAGAGAGAGAGAGAGAGAGAGAGAGAGAGAGAGAGAGAGAGAGAGAGAGAGAGAGAGAGAGAGAGAGAGAGAGAGAGAGAGAGAGAGAGAGAGAGAGAGAGAGAGAGAGAGAGAGAGAAGAGAGAGAGAGAGAGAGAGAAGAGGGAGGAGAAGAGGGGAAGGAGAAGGGGAGGAAGAAGAGAGAGAGAGAGGGAGAGGGGAAGAGGAGAAGAGGAGAGAGAGAGAGGAAGAAGAGAGAGAGGAGAGAGAGAGAGAGAGAGAGAGAGAGAGAGAGAGAGAGAGAGAGAGAGAGAGAGAGGAGAGAGAGGGGAGAGAAAGAGAGGAGAAGAGAAGGGGAAGGAGAGAGAGAGGAGAGAGAGAAGAGAGAGAGAGAGAGAGAGAGAGAGAGAGAGAGAGAAGAGAGAGAGAGGGAGGGAGGGAGGGAGAATAAGAAGGAAAAGGATAGGCACGAGGATAGGGAGTGGGTGATGGAGAAGGAGAGGGAGAATGAGAGGGAGAAGAAGATTGAGACGGAGAAAGGGAAAACACACACACATATAAGTATATATGGATGTTTGTAATACATATATGTAATTACATATTTTTGTAAACATACATTCATATATATATATATATATATATTATATATATATATATATATATATATATAATATATATATATACATATTATATATATATATATATATATATATATATATATATATATATATATATATACATATATACATATACACACACACACATATGTGAGTGTGTATGTGTGTGTATGTATGTGTTAAGGCGGTTAAGATCAGTGAAATAACAATTGCGTTTTCCAATAAGATTTCACAGTAAAAAGCATTCTGTGGTATGAATAAGTATGAATTTGTGAACGGTTTCAATCATATTTTCACCAGAATCAAATATACATATATAATAGAAACCGGTTAGATGCATTTATTTTACTGTGAAGATATACGTACTCATTCATACATTTGTATACTTCTGTACGTTCGGATATTCAAGGGAAAAGATTTAAAAACATATATGTAAGCGAATTAAATACATCCCTGATGCCATATAAAAAAATAACAAAAATTCTACGAGTTCTGTCGAAGAGAGAGAGAGAAAAAAAAAAAAACAAAACAAGAATACTAATCAAGAAAAAAAAAACAAAAACAACTCCGATAAGAGAATGAAAGATTAAAGACCAATTCTTCCTTCCCATCTCACTCAAAGGCTATCAATTACCCCACCCTATTTATATATGCAAAGAATGGAGGGTCTTCTTGTTGGGGGAAAAAAGGGTAAATTTACAGTAGAGAGTCTGATTGGGCTGTTTCCTATTATCCGGAGCTCGTTTTGGGGCGGCCATTAACCACGGCCCTCTGATGCATGTTAAAAAGACCCCCCCCCCCCCCCCCCACCCGGCCACCACTACCCCTCGGCCGCTATTTGCTCTCGAAGAAAGAAAATGTGAATGTAAATGTTTGAAGAGAGGATTTTCAGAGGGATAAGAAGGGAGATAACAATTTTTTTTCTCTCTCTTCTCTCTCTGCTCTCTCTCTCTCTCTTCTCTCTCTGTCTATCTCTCTCTCTCTCTCTCTCTCTTCTCTCTCTTCTCTGTCCGCTCTCTCTCTGTCTCTCTCTCTCTCTCTCTCTCCTCTTCTCTCTCTCTCTCTCTCTTATTTCTTTTTTTCTTTCGTAATAGGCATATTGGGGGACCCGTTATTGTGCAAGATGCAAATGCTGAAATACAATCACTGAAAATTTTATTCTTTTCATTCATTTTATTTTTTTCTTTTTAGATATTTCAGAAAAGCACAGTTTAGAGGGCAAAAATGGGTAATTGAGATTAAGTTAGGCCGAGGTTATTGCCTGTTTCAAAGGATATTAAGTTAAGTGACCGAGCATGACCTAGGTAAGGGAGGCTATTAGAGAAGCAAGAGGAGAGAGGTAAAGAGAATTAACTATATATGAATTTATGGGAAGAGTTTGTATCAGTGTGAAATAGTTCACAAAAGCGGGGTTAATGTGTTAATAGATATTAAAATACGGAGATATTGTATGAGAGAAACAAAAATGAAAGGATTTTGGTGTTTAATAGTTTTAGTTCTTAGATCTAATTTTTATTTCTTATTTTCTTTCTCTCTATTTCTCTCTCTATTTATCTCTACCTCTCATTTATGTTATAATTTATACGTGTTTCTTGCCTTTTGCTTAACCTTCGCAAATATTAAGAGAGAGAGAGAGAGAGAGAGAGAGAGAGAGAGAGAGAGAGAGAGAGAGAGAGAGAGAGAGAGAGAGAGAGAGAGAGAGAGAGAGAGAGAGAGAGAGAGAGAAGAGAGAGAGAGAGAGA